GACACAGCTGTAACGGACCAAACTCTAACTTTAATTTCATTCGACCAATTTTAAGAAAGACACTGTTCCAGAAGGCTCCTTCTCTTTCCCCTTCACAGAGCTGTGCAGTTGACTGAAAGTTTGATGATGGGGTGTGTGGGCAGAAAGGGGGGATTTATGTGGAAACCCCTTCTCACTGGGGGTTCCAGTTAATTCCATCTGCCTAGCCCTAACTCTTCTTCTCTACCTTTGTAACAACTCTCACCTGGTAGAGACACGCCTTCCCACAAAGCCCACACCACATCATTTCCTGGAGGCTGGCTCCTCAGGGCCCAGCGGGAGACTCTTCAATCAGCCAGCGCCCTGACCACCACCTGTGCTAGGAGACCAGGAAGCGGTGGGCCCCACGATCTGGAAAGGATTACATAAGGTCCTTGTCCCTGAACTCACGCCTTCTATCTGCCAGTAGGTACACCTGATTCTGCATCTGGGACACGCACATCACCAATCCCAACTTGTACCGTGAAACTCTTATTTAGCCTTTTTCTTAGGAAAATAGGAAAGAACAAAAGGCTAAACAAAATGTATTAAAGATAGATATGAATTTAAGGCTAGGCAGAGAAGCAATTCACACCACACCTCCATTAGTCATAGCCTGCCTCTAGTAGAAGCTAGCCAATTTTCAGCTCCAAAACAAAACTACCAAGGGAACACGTGCCTTAGGCACTCACCCATACACTCTCCTGCCATTAACCAAAAGCCACAAATCCAGGAGTCACACAAACTATTGCCATGTAAAACCGTTCATTTAAAATTGTTCATTTTGGCCGGGACCGGTTTGGCTCAGTGGATAGAGCGTCAGCCTGCAGACTGAAAGGTCCCGGGTTTGATTCCGAGCAAGGGCATGTACCTTGGTTGCGGGCACATCCCCAGTGGAGGGTGTGCAAGAGGCAGCTGATCGATGATTCTCTCTCATTGATGTTTCTAACTCTCTATCCCTCTCTCTTCTTCTCTGTGAAAAATCAATAAAATATATTTTAAAAATAAATAAATAAAATTGTTCATTTTGAATGGGGGTTCAAAGTCCTTCCCTGGAATCCAGGCTGATGTGGTCTGTAAATGAGGGTCTTCACCAAGGCACACCAGGCAGCAGCCTGCTAGCGCAGCGCAGTTCTCCAACAGGCAGTGTTTGGTCAGACGCTGGACGTGCAATAGCATGTGAACCAAAGTGCCACCCTCATGGTGCTTAAACCCTGACGGGAAGATACACCATCCACTGAAAATATGTTCTGTAAATCGTGGAATCTCCAGTGCAGCAAAGACAAGGTCATGAGTAGACACAACATGCACCCAAAGTTCACAGCAGAATCCAAGCCACCAGGTGGCAGGACTCTTAGAACGTGAAGGCAGGAGGTGCTGGGCACAGACAGCCCGCAGGCACCACTTAGTAGGTTCTTCTAAGCCTTGGTTTTGGTCCATTGACGCCAAATAAAGGAGTAGAGAGTGTGTCAGCTGGTAAAAGCAGGATGGAAACTCTAAGCTGGTGAGAATGACGTTTTTAGAGCAGCAGTGTTACAGGTGAGACACACTAGTACTGCAGAGCTTATTTGTGAGACAGTGGCAGTTGCTTTTCCCTTCTGTTACTCCTTGCTTCCCACAAAACTGTATTATAAGCAACACTAACCCCAGAAGCCACCAATGACAGAACTCCATCAATCAGAAGTCACTAAGGCATGTCCACTGACAAATAAGCATCCCTCACTGCACAAGGGACTGCCCGTTTTTATTTAACAGATTCTCATTTTAAATAACTAGACCATTTGGTATTTCATTACAGTGTTTGCCAACACTATGTTAGCCATATCAGAACTCATGTTCTGAAAGTATCTGATTCGAACAGAAAACACAAGTTCCAACCTTCCCAGACAGTCATCATGCTGCACACTCCTCCGTCAGAGGCGGGGTTAAGTCTGCTTTTTCTCGTTAGGAGCGGGCTCTCGTCGGCCCCTCAGGCCTGGCCAAGGAGGACCCACCACTTTGGGGTAGAAAGACCGAGGGTGAGCTACTCTGGCTCCAAACTCAGTGTTTCACCTACAAAATGAGGATATGGACAGCCCGACAGCTCTAGTCCTTGGGAGGAGTAAAGGAGAGGAAGCATCAGAGCACCCGCTCAGGTCTGCCCTCGGCGCTTAACCATGTCCCTTCCTTACCCTGCGGAGCCTCTCCCAGATGGAGCACCTGTACCGAGGCAGTGGCACCTACCAACAGCCTGCCTCCCACTCAGTCATGTCGCATGCGTTCCCCTGGCATTGGATAACGTTCAAATGTATTAACTTGGGTCATTTTTCTGGTTCTGAAAAGGGTTTACAGTAAATGGCAATGTACATGAAGTTTAGGTAGAATTACGCTAATTAAATACAAGTCTGTGAGGAAACACCTTCATGTTTAAAGCCGGGTGAAGGCTGTGCTGGTGCTACCGGGATTCTCCCGAGGCTTCCAGCTGCTAAAGGGTGGAAATGGTGCCACGTGGGCAAGGCATCTATTTCCTCCTTCTGTCTACAAACCAGGTCAATAGTGTTGACAGAAATCAGACGATAATTAACAGCATGTGCTAAAATTTTTTTTAACTCAAAGTAGAACTATATATGATTATCTGGATTTATTTTCATCAGAGAGCCTAGTAAAAAAGCAATCCAATTATTACAGACAGGAAAAGAGGGGGCTTCTCTGCTGTTTTATAATCAGAAACATGAAATACCAGTAAAAAGTCTCAAAGACCTTCATAGCAATTTTTTGCTAATTATTTAGGGCTTTTGTAAGGGAAAACAGTAATGACAAAATGTTTTTAAACAAGCTTTTAAGATAAAGTACTACAGAAATAAGCTTTTATCATTTTTTAACAAAAAAATTCATTTCACAAATATAACAACTTTCAATGCTATTGAAATTTAAAACAAGATTTAGTATAGCTGAAAATGTCTTAACTGCAAATATTTAGTTTCAAAAGTTAGATTTACATAATATGTTAACACTTTAAATCTAATCTTTTATTGCTCTAATGACAATTTTTAATTATTTTGTCAAAATCAATAAATTTTAAAATATAGGGAAAAAGGTTTTCATAGTATTTTATAGAGTTTAATAGAGATAGAAACTAAGATCCTATTTCTCTTATCCAAATAACATCAAAGAAAGGATAATTTTCAGTTATTTTTACTATGTCACAGTGTATGTACATACATACATGCACACACACACACACACCACATACGTAAATTAGTATAATAATTTCTTCTGAGGAAGCTAATCATCTATTTTAAAGGAAGTAACTTTAACAATGCAATTTTGTTATTTAAACAATTTCTCCCACTTCCTAAAACGAAAATGACCTGACTAGTCTTGAGAACTGGGACACTGAATTCTGTAACTCCCAACACTGGGCCTGGAGTGCAGAAACAACGTTACAAACACCTTGATCCTCAGGCTGCTCGGAGCCCCCTCCCCACAGACCCTTCATCGCGCCTGCGTCCACGGAGCTCCACTCCTGATCGGACACTCACTCACCCTCCCTGGGTGCCAGTCTCAGAAGAGGCTCAAGTCACCCCTCCTCCCGGAACCCCGCTATCTGCCAAACCAGGGACGCTAATTTTGGGGTGCAGTGTCTTACGCTGCCTGTGCTCCTCACTCTGCCACCGGGAACGGGTCCGGGCGGCTCGGCAGGGAGCACGCTTTGTCCAGCCTCCCGGTGCTCACTCGGAGGCTGGTGGCTTGGCTCTGCCCAGAGATGCTCAGAGGAGGCTCTGAGACCCGACCGGCCGGTGTGCAGCACTGGGGACGAACAATGGGCTCGGCGGGTCCCCTCCAGGCGGAGCGCACACCTCCAACAGGAGCTCCCGGAGGCAGAGACGCCCGCTTCCTGGATGCGGGCCCGGGCGCGACCACGACGGCGCTCGGCATCGCACCCCACAGCCGCCGGCGCGGCCGAGGGCGCCCCTGCCCGAAAGCACCGGCGGCGGCGCGGCGGTCTCCCGGCCCCTCCCTCCCCGCACGCCCCTCGCACGAGGCGGGACGACCGACCGGAGGGCCCCGCCGGGTCGCTTCCGAAGGGAGAGAGAGAGGCTGGTCTCACTCCCATTTCCCACACGCGAAGGGTGAGGCTCTGCGGGCCGTTCCCGGGAGAGCGGCCTGTGTCCGGCCACGGACGGACTCACCTTGCGAGGAAACAGCGAGGACGGCGCCGCCCGCAGACGCCCCCGCCCCGGCCCGGCGCCCCCTCAGTGTCCCCGGCCTCCGCCCCCGCTGCCCAGGCCCCCCGACCGGGCCGCTGAAATGGCTCCGAAGGGAAAGGCACCGCGAGCGCGTTCGCTACAAAATCCCGCAAACCCCCCACACACACACCCGGCCGCCTCCGACAAAGCCGGGAGGCAGGGCCGGCGGCGGCTCGGTGCCCGGCCGGCGGGGCGGGCCGCGGGAGGAAGCCGGGGCCGCGGGGCGCGGGGCGCCGGCGGCGGGGATGGAGCCCGGCCCCGAGGTCACCCGCCCGCGGCCCCGCTCGGACGGACGGACACTCCCCCGCCCTCCGCGGGCGCCAGGCTCCGGAGAGGCCCCGGGCGAGTCTCCATCCCGGTCCCCGGCGGCCCCGCGGGGCTCCGCTTCCCCCTCCTTCCTCTCCCCTTTTGTGAGGCGCCCCCGGCCCCGGCCCCTCCGCCTCCCCGGAGCCCCCGCGTCCCCCCGCCCGGCCGCCCGGCCCCGTCCCCCCGCCGCCCGGCGTCCCCACCGCCCGGCCGGCCCGCGCCCCGTCTCCTCAGCCCGCGGCCCCCCCGGCCCCAGCCCCCGGAGCGGCGGCGGCGGCGGCGGCGGGCAGCGCGGGAGGAGCCGGCCTCCGCCGCATCCGCCTCCGGGACTGGTCGGTCCGGCCCCGCTCGGCCCTCCGCCCTCGGGCCGCGGCCCTGCCAACCACCCGCTCCGGGAGCGGCCCGCCCGCCCGCGCCCCGGCCCGGCCCGGCCCCGCACTCACTCACTCGGACCGCGCTCGGCGCGGGGAGGCGAAGACCGACGACAACGGGGCGGCGCCGCGGGCGCACTGGCCGCGCTTCCTCCCACGCCTCACGCCGCGGGCGCTCAGCGGTCCCGGCCCGGCGGCGGCGGCGGCGGCGGCGGCGGCGGCGGGCTCGCGCCCTCGGGGCCGTGCTGCGCGTGCGCGGCGCCGGCGGAGGCGCGCGCCCCGCTCCGCTACGCGTGTCGGCGCCCCGCGCTTCCGCCTCCTGCAGGACCGGGCCTGCGCGCCGCGGGAGGCGCATGCGCAGGGCGCCGCCGGGCTGCTCTCCGAGGTCGCGCGGGGGACGCCGGGCCGGGGCTGCCGGAGGGCCGGGGGCCGAGGGGGCGGGGCCGAGGGCGGGGCCGAGGGGCGGGGCTGCGGCCGGGGAAGCCTTGCGGGGGCGGGAGGGGGCGCCCGCCTTGCGGACGTGCGCGGGCCGCCGTGGGGGCCTCCGGGCCGGCGGGTGGGACACCTCGCTGTCCTCAAACCGCAAACGCGGCGGCTCTGGACGCCCTGGTCGACGACCCAACAGTCCCGCCCCAGAGTCGGAACCGCCCGGGCCGGGCGTGGCTGTGGGCCCGGTTCCGACCTCCCCAGGCTTCGCGCCCGCCCTGAGCAGTGAGGTGCCCTTCGCAGAGCGGAGCTGGGCTGGGCGCGTGTGTCCGCGGCCTCCGGGCTGGTGTGGGCCTTGCTGAGATTGCTCTTGGGACAGTCCTGAAGGGGCTTGTGAACCAGGTGGGCGGCCATGGCCCGGTCTGGGCCAGGTGCTCTGATCCAGGAACAGGGCATCACCGGGCAGAGGGCGGCGAGGGACAGCCAGTTTGGGGAGCTGATGGGTTAGGACCACGGGGTGTGGCCCGGTGGCCTGGGGTGCAAAATGCGCACGGCAGGGCCTTAGGTGCCTGGCCTTCATTCTTTTTTAAAAATAAATTTTATTGATTTTTTACAGAGAGAGGAAGGGAGAGAGAGAGTTAGAAACATCAATCAGCTGCCTCCTGCACACCTCCTACTGGGGATGTGCCCGCAACCAAGGTACATGCCCTTGACCGGAATTGAACCTGGGACCCTTGAGTCCACAGCCCGCCGCTCTATCCACTGAGCCAAACCGGTCAGGGCTGGCCTTCATTCTTGAGGCAGCGGGGACCTGGGGAAGGAAGGGCCCACACAGAAAGTGATAGTTGATTTGTGTTCTTTAAAAAAAAATCACTGGCAACTGCGGTGGGAAGTGAAAGAGCTTTCGTTTTGATGGTGTCGCTTTAACCCTCACCGCAGCCAGGAGGTGGGCGGCACGTCCTCCTTGAGAAAGGGGAGCTCCCGAAACTGTCAGAGCTAACGGGCCACGGGGCCACCCCGCTCTCAGCAGCTGTCACTTGGTTCTCATGATAACAGAACGGGTGGAAGAACGTGCTTCTGCTTAGCAAGACCTTTCCACAGTTCCCGTTTCTTTGTATATTGTTCCCCAGTAGAATGCATTGTGGCTGTTGGGTGGGTGGGTGTCTTTGGACTACGTTTAAACTGGTAAGGCGTTCTCTCTGCCGATGCCAGCCCCGGGACCCTTGCCCTTGCTGCTTGCTCTATCTGGCCCTCTCCCCCCTCTGCTTGGCCCTCCTCCTCCCCTCACTTCCTCCAAGCCCGTGGACGGCAGTATTGGACGGGACTGACCCCTGCGTCCGTGAAGAACCTTGCACTCCCGCCCGCCCACTCTGCGTTCTCCAGAGCACCCATTGTTCATAGCCTGGCAGTAGGTGCTTGTTTGTTTCTGGATGGTCTGCTCCCTCCCCAGGACCGTCAGATTCAGGAGAGCAGCAGCTTTGTTTTGCTTGCTGCTGGGTCCCTGGCACATAATAACATGTTTGTGGAGTGGTTGAATGAAGCTCTGGGTGATGCGAAGTGAGAAAGTATTGTTTCGTAAAAGGAGGGAGTGGGAGTGGGGCGGGGAGTGAGGGGACAGGGGGGATGTATAGTGAAGAATGTCTTTGGGGGGAGGGGCGGCTTCGTGTGTAGACTAAACACAGCCACCGAGTCTTTGGCATTGCTCCCTACGAGAGGTGGGATCCAGCTAGTCGCCCCTTGAACCTGGACTGATGTTGTAACTCGCTCTGACCCATAAAATGTGTCACCATAAAAATAAAAATAAAATTTTTTTTTTAAATGTGTTACTGTGATGTCCGACTTCTAAGCTGAGGCCTCCAGAAAAACCGGCCCCAGAGCCTAGGGAGGCCGGTGGAGGAGAACTGAGGTGCGCTCCCCGTCTCCCCTGCTCCTCACGTGTGTCCCCCAATCCCCCCGCAAGTGGCCCGCCTCCAGATGTGTGAGTGAGGCTGCCCTAGACCCAGCCTCAGTTTCACCAACCACAGAGCATCATGAGCACATGAAAGCTGGGGGCGGGGGGCGGGGGGTGATTTTTGTTTTATTTCTTGGTTGTAGAGCACATGTGTCAAACACAAGGCCCGCGGGCCAAATCCGTCCCGCCAGGCCTTGCAATGTGGCCCCCACTGCACTGTCATCACTGCACTCCGCTGCGTTTCCATCACAATGATAGTTTATGACTGTTCAGTAAACCATTCGGCCTGCGATTTAGGCTGGATTTTAGATTTTGGCCCCTTCTCTGATTGAGTTCGACACCCCTATTGTAGAGAGAGGAAGGGAAAAAGAGAGAAACATCAGCCTAGCGTCCCATTATTTATGCATTCAGTGGTTGTTCCTTGTATGTGCCCTGACGGGGGATCAAACCCACAACCTTGGTGCATTGGGACCACGCACTGACCAGCTGAGCTACCCGGCCAGGGAAAAACTTGTGGTCCTAAGCGTCTGTGTTTTGGGGTAGTTTGTTACGCAGCCATGGATAACTGATACATTCCGTTTCCTCCTCGGCCAGCCATGGCGCATCTGAAACTGATATTCTTGACAGGCAGCTTTGATGATTCTGCTTAAGAAGGAAATGGGGGAAGGCAGGAGGAAGAATGAATGCGAAGGAGGAGGGCAGGCAGAAAAGGGGACAGCCTGGGCAGCAGAGCGTGGCTGGCTGTCTCCCAGCCCTGCGTCCTGCGGGGCCCAGATGCTGAGGCTCAGCAGAGCAGTCGGGTGACGGACGGCACAGACTTGGGTCAGGTCCAGCCGTTCCCAGTTCATCGGCACCTGGACCTCATTCCTCGTCGGCAACTCGGGGCTCATAAAGGATCTGTGTGACATCGGGTGATTGTAGAACGGAATAAGCCGTGCCCTGAGACCCTCAGCGGTGTGCGTGGCATCATGCGTGTTATTGATTAGCTATAGATCATGGCTCCCCAGAGCTAGGTGCTAGCGAAGGCCTATGTGACGTGGGCTTTGGGTCAGTCCTGCAAACACTCCCTCTAAACCTCACAGCATGCCCGCAGCTTACATACCTGTCACCATCCCATTTCATTGATGTGAAAACTAGGGCTCGGTCCCCAGCGTGGAGTGTGCAGGAGGCAGCCGATCCATGGTTCTCTCTCATCATAGATGTTGCCATCTCCCTCCTCCCCCTTCCTCTCCGAAATCAGTAAAGATAGATTTAAAAAACAAACACACTGTGGCTCAGAGAAGAAAGAAGCGACGAGACGGATAGCAGGTGCCATCTGGGTATTCCGTAAGATGACCCGCCTTCTCAGCATGCTGGCTGACCGGGGAGAGGCCCCGTGTGTTAGGTCCAGGGCCATCACAGCTCATCGCACAATAGTTCATACCATCAATGCGACTGAAGACTGTTGCCATTGACTCTGGTCACCCGGCTGAGGTTGTGTTGGTCAGGGTTCTCCTCCAGGAAGTCGCTCGCCCACACTCCTTGCCAGACGGACTTATCTAGCCAACCTGGAGAGGCGAGGCTCAGCAGTTGAGCGTCGACCCTTGAACCAGGAGGTCACGGTTCAATTCCCGGTCAGGGCACAGGCCCGGGTTGTAGGATCGCTCCCCAGTGTGGGGTGTGCAGGAAGTAGCCAATGCATGATTCTCTCTCATTAAGGATGTTCCTATCTCTCTCGCCCTCAAAAACAAAACAAAACATTTCTTACAAACGATTTAAAAGTTATCTAGCCAAAGCACGGGGCAGTGTATGACCCCCCAGGTCAGTAGTGCATGTGGCGCCCACAGGCGTGGCGCAGAATTCTGCGGCGGAGGGGTGGGAAGGCATCCACGGAAAAGGCGCGTCCCACCCCCACGCGGGGGGCTCACGCTACAGGCAGCGTCCGTCCCTCGCACCTCGTCCCTCAATCGTGTTGGCCAGCAGCCACACACCCTGAGGGGAGACTGAGGCTCACCCAGGGCGTCAGCCAATCAGCACGAGCGGCATGGGGCAATGGGCGTTGTGGGCGCCACTCCACCACGTGTGGGGAGAACCTGTGCCGGAGCCGGTGTTTGCTGACGGACTGGTAGAAGTTCTCCCATGACAGCGTGACACCGGGCGCTCACCTAGCTGTGAACTCCTGAGGGCAAGGAGCAGGCGGCTGGCTCCCCGCTACCCCCGTTCAGACACAGCTGATCGCGGGCGCGCCAACGTCTGCTGGTTGGCGTTCACAGAAGCCCGTGGCTGTCATTCTCACTTTAAACGTGGCCGTAGTTTGTAATCCACCGGGAGCGCCCAGGACTCTGCATCCCCTATAGAGGGGCTCCGGGGATGCGTGTATGGAGAAGGACATGGTTCTTTTCTCTCTTTTTTAAAAAATATTTGTATTGATTTCAGAGAGGAAAGGAGAGGGAGAGAGAGAAACATCAATGCTGAGAGAGAATCATGGATCAGCTGCCTCCTGCACGCCCCACACTGCGGAGCCAGTCTGCAACCCGGGCGTGTGCCCTGACCAGGAATCAACCAACGTGACCTCCTGGCTCGTAGGTCGGTGCTCAACCACTGAGCCACACCGGCTGGGTGCAGAGGGCCGTGTTTCTCACTAGCAGCCCAGAACGGCCACAGGGATGGAGAGACGGCTCCCCTGCGTTGGCAATTAGCATCCCCACCTGGGAGAGTCCCGGTGACTCACGGGGGAAACGCCTCAGGAACAGGAAGAGGGCCGGGCGCTCAGCCAGCCCGCCCGCCCGGCCTGCGGCTCCCCGGCTCCCGGTGGAAGTCGGCGTGGCTGCCCCACGGAAGGGCACGGGGGACTGACAGC